AACTAATAATTGAACTTTTTAAAGGATTCATAAACGTTTGATAGTGATCCTTAAATCAAGACTCTGCAGAACCTTAATTTTTTAGGCTTACTTTTATATAGAGAACTCTAACTCATTAGTATTAAAGCACAGCATTAATTGGTAGTAAAGTGAGTAGTTTCTGACTTTTTAGCAATCAGGAAGCATGGCTGTTGCTCTTTAGCAATCAGGAAGCATGGTGACCAATGCCTATATTCCTAGCACACTGGGTGGGCAAGGGGATGGATTGCTTGAGCTCAGGAGTTCAAGATCAACCTGAGTGAGACCCTATGTCTTCAAAAAATAGAAAAATTAGCCAGGCATAGTGGTGCATGCCTGTGGTCCTAGCTACTCAGCCAGGCAAGAGGATGGATCACTTGAGCCCAGGCATCTGAGTTTGCTGTGAGCTATAATGATGCCACTGCACTCTAGCCTGGGTAACAGAGTGAAACTCTGTCTCAAAAAATGAAAAAAATTAGTAGGCAGGAGTGACTACTGTCTTCATTAGTAGTTTGAAAACCTGGGCCATAGAATAATTTAATTGACTTCAGCTATATGTTTAAAACTAGATCCAAATAAGGGCTAAGTCATTGGTTTTAATATTGAATCATACATGCTTCCATTTTGTTTAAATTTTAGTTATTTATTACTTTTTAAGATGATTATTATAAAGAAGTGTTTTATTTATGTCTTCGTCAAGGCAGAAGGTAAATTTAAATTTTCAAAAAGAAAAGAATAAATTTCTTTTTATGTCATTTAGTACCCTGCGTGTGAGTATTGAATGAAATATAAAGCATAGCATTTTTTATTTCATTTTTGCTGGTTGCAGAGTTACTGTATCTTGGGAATAATATGAAATGATGGTGAAGTAGTTCTTGACAAAATTAGGATGTGGTAAGTAATATAATTATTTGGTGAAGCCACAGACTAATAAATCTCTAGCCTTTGGAATGTACAAAGTTGAGAAACTACAGAAGAAAATTATTTTTCTAGATGAATTCCTTGGTAACTTTTCCAAAATTCTGTCTGCAGCTATTAGATCTTTTGCTTCTTACCTAACGCTGTATGCATATCTCATAAAAATAGCTCTTTTCAAATTATTCTTTTCAAACAAGACAAGAGGCATTCAATTAAATGTGATGACATAATGGTATCTTCTGATGTTTACATCTGTAATACATTTCCCTTGAGTGCTGGAGACGTCCGAGAAGGAGATGTGTAAATTGTCCCTTGGCTTTTGTAGACATATTCTCACATGTGGGAAGCGGTCCATTTGGGTCGGAGGTATTATGTAAATAGTTACATACTGTTTTTGAAGGGGAAGAACTTCTTTCATAGATGCATTGTTTGGATATGTGCCAGTTGTTTTGCCATTACAAAGATATATGTTAATAATATCTGGTGTCACATACAGAGACCAGACAAGATAGTGGCGTTCACAAGGAGTTTGCTAATCAAAAAGTTGTGCGGTTATCTGGAAATATTCCTAGAGAAACGTCCTTACGTTGGATTGCCATAACAGCTGGTATTTCTTCATTTCTGATTGTTTTAGCTTTGAGGCTGAGTGTGAAATTGTAAAATGGAATTAAATTTTGTAGTAACAGTCTTTTTCAGTGAAAATGCTGTTTTGACTACAAAATCTGAAGTGAAAAGCCATACATCTTGATGGGGTTTGTTTTTTAGTGCATCTCTCTTTTTTTTTTTTTTTTTAAACAAATGTACTTGTAACTTTGAAAAATAAGTATAAGCCAAACAAACCAGAGTACACCCATGTACCCTTTATTCAAATTGAGCTCTTAACCATTTCAGAGTAAGTTGCCTATATCATTGCCCCTAAATGTGTTAGCTGTCTGCCAATTGAATATTGTTAAAATGCTTTAATCTGCCATCAACTAACCCTTTGATATTATTTATAGACCCCCCCACTCCCTGCTCCCTGTGGCATAAGATATGATCTTGCATTAGCTGTTAAAATTTTTTTGAATGTCCCTTTAGACCTTTAAAATATAGAATATTTCACAGGCTGTCTTCTTTTAAATCACTGATATTTTTGAAAAATGTAACTCCCTGACTCTACCTCCAGCCTTAGTTTTTTAAAAATAGAATGATTTTTATCTTGAGTTTTTATGATATTTTCTCTTGGTTGTATTTATGTTATATATTTCTCTGAAAACGACATGAGTAATGTTCTCACAGCGTGGTATCTGGTGGCCCTTGATACGTGGATATAGTTGTCATTTTGTGGTGATGTTAATTTTGTTAAAATTTTCAGTTTCTATACTGAAAAATCCTTCTTTTTAAAAATTTTACAGTTACATGCAATAAATGAGCAGTTTGTAGAAACCATGGATATATCCTACTTTTTATCAAATTTTCAGTCTAGTTTCAGCATCCATGCATTCTTGCCTGAGCCAGTCTTTCATGCTTACAGAATGATTTTTACCTTTACTCTCCACATTTACTGGTAGGCACTTGACTTTATACTGTAGGTAAAATCCCTTCATTCTCATCCATCCCTCTCTCTCTCTTTCAGCCTTTGTACGGTAACAACCCTCATTCATGTGTCTATCCTCCCTCCCTTCCTTTATTCCACACATATTTTTAATTACATACTCATGAACTTCTGTTTTTCAGTGGTTTATTATTTATTCTATCCTTATTTTGGTTATCAAATTGTTCCAGAGTTGAACAATGGAAGTTCCTTCAAGCTGATAGTCACTATTTTTTTAAAAACTATTTCTCTACTGGGTGGCGTAAGAATATTATTACTCATAGTCACCATGCCTCAACCTTGCAGTTTGCTGTTTCTGGCTCTCCTGGTTCTTTGTTTGTTTGTTTGTTTTCTTTCCTTTTTAATTTTTTCAAGACAGAGTCTTGTTCTGTTGCTCAGGCTATAGTGCAGTGGTACAATCATAGATTCCTTTAACCTTTAGCTCCCAGACTTACTCAATCCTTCTCACTTTGCCTCAGCCTCCTGATGGCCAGGACTATAGGTATGTGCCCCTATGTCCAGCCAATTTAAATTTTTTTTTTTTTTTAGTAGAATTAGGGTCATGCTATGTTGCCCAGGCTGGTCTCTAACTCTGGCCTCAAACTCTCCTCCTGCCTCAGCTTCCTTAAGTGCTGAAATTACAAGCATAAGTTATTGCACTCAACCTTTTGTTTAAAAAAAAAAAAAAAGACGAGGTCTTCTTATACCTCCTGGGCCTAAGGGCAGTGACTATTGACAGGTGCACTACAGCCCTGAACTCCTGGGATCCTTATTCCTCAGCCTCTGCAGTAGCGGGGACTATAAGTGTAGCCACCATGCCTGGCTCTCCTGGTTCCTTTTAACGGGCAGTGGTATTAGAGACTAAGCTTTGTCTAGTAGCTGTGCTCATTGTCTTCCCTTCTAGGCATTTCCAATTGACAGTGCTAAAAACATATGAATATTTATATATATACACACACACATAATGCATATATAAATGGGCAAATGTACATATATACATACAAATGCATGTAAATATAGAAATACACATATTTTAGAAATCGTAAGTTTACATTGATACTTCCATACGGTTCTTTCTTGCCTTCCTAATTTCATTTATATTTATATGTCTCTTACTCTGCACAGTAGACCCTGATCTCAACTGTCCACTCATCTGTTCAATCCTCTAATAGAAAAAGCAAAATTGCAAATTGCCCACTAATACTACAAAAAAAAAAAAAAAGAAAGATTTCAGGTTTATTTTATTTTTCTTATAATTATGCTCACTTTTGTCATCACCTGAACTGGAGTTATGCAGTAATAATACTATATTCATAGATTATTTTTATTAATTTGTTTTTCATTCCTCCCTTTCCTTTTTCCTTCATTTTGTTGTGGTTTTACCTGATATATAATTGATGTACAATTGATACATAGTTCCTTTTGTATTTACATTTATTTTTATGCTTGTATATTTTCGTATATATTTATTTACATTTCCCTTTATTTCACAAATGGTAACATAGTGTATATACTCTTTGGCAAATTGCTTTCTTTCTTTAACAATATTTCATGTATATTTTACTATTTGGTGGAGATTTGTTGAGAATTCTTGCTCATCTTTAATTTTGTTGAACCAAGATTGTGCTCTGAGGATTTCTAGAGCAAAATTTCTGGCTTAGTTATTTTTATGTAGATATGCTTACTCAGTTGTGGTTGAATTTCAATTTGTTGTTTATTTTTACATTTTGTCCTTGAATATTTTAAATACCTGAAGCAGGGAATAAACGGAGACTTTCCAAAATATTGTCTTTCCTTGCTCATGCAGCAGGAGGCAGCAGAGGGATAATTTTCATAATTCTTCGAATGTCTATTTGTGGGTGAATGGATAAGTGAGTGAAAGAGAGAGATTAGTTCTTTTTATTAGCCAAATTTATAACTTTTCAAATTCTTTAGTTTACTCTATGTGAAACCACATTTGCTAATTACTTATCATATGGAAAGTTCCTCACCACTCTCCTCAGAATCTCAAGTAGTCATTCTTGTGGCATAAAGGATTGCCTAAAAAATAACTTGACTTCGCATATCAGACTTTTGAAAGGTTCCTTACTATTCTATTAATATTGCTTTGAAGGATTTTTTAAAAAGCAGTGTCACTGATGGAGAAAATTTGAGTTAAGAATAAAGGGATTACATATTAATCTTCATCAAAGACCCTGTTTTTAAAACTATGTAAAGCAGATCAAATTTTTGTTTTGGGAGATATAAATTCTTTGTGAATTACAGAGGCTTTAAAAAGCTCATGTTATAGTGGGGTGATGTTTTAATATCTTATTCTTATCATTTTATTTTTTTAAAAGTTTTAAATGTACATTATCTAATTTTTTTTTTCTAAATATAGGAAGCATAGGACCAGCAGAGAATTTAATCCTGGTTTACAGCTTAGTATGTGAGAGAATCATACATATCAAAGTAATGATTCACTTTGAAAATTGGCAGGTTCATTTACTTATGCCAGGAACGAATAAGAGCATGTCTTTTTCATTCCTAATTGTAAAAGAAATAAGCTCTCTGAAGTGGACAGCTAGTGTATGTGTCACAGTCGATTTGGGCATAACTTGTGCCATTTTTGTGGCATAATTTGTGCTTTTTACACAATTGAAAACGCAAATATGGCAACATTTTTTGACTAATTTTGTTTCCTTTTACAATCCCCGCAGAGGATTTAAAAGGACAAAACATCCAGTTCATTAGCATGTTAAATATTTAACGTTAGGAAGTCATGTGTAAGTCCTTTGATTATACTTCTTAAATTTATTTGTGGAAAGGGTGCCAGACCCCAAATCCTACTGTTTTGGAGTTTATGAATTCTTAAAGACTATTCTTCTTGTAATTAAAACTAGAGTTAAGCATGCAACTGTCTGAGTGGCACCAGCAGATTATGAAAAGGGGCAGAAGTGTCTCAGCAGGGCTTTTAGCTGTTTGTCTGAAATACAGTCATGCAAACATTCCCACCCGCCACCATCATTATGCATGATAAATAAGCTCTATCCTAATAGCCTTTAGAGTTAAACAATCTAATAGAATTCACTTCTTGGTTCTCTCTTTCTTTTTTTTTCCCCCTCAGTTGATTCGATGTCATCAGTCCCGTGGCGGAGCCTGTGGAGACAACATTCAGTCTTATACTGCCACAGTCATTAGTGCTGCTAAAGTGAGTACCTCAGAAGTCCCTGGGAGTTGTGATTATGTGGAGTAACTTTCAGGTTTCTCTCTTGAATTGGGTTGAGATTGTCCCTTCCATTTTTATTCACAAATGCGGAATAAACTTAAGTAAATCACAGTTTTATTTTGTTTTGTTTGTCACTCATGCTTTGGTATTTAATCTCTCAAGTTTCATAACTAATACTTGAGGAAAGTACCATTTCCAATTTTAAGTCTTTAGGTCCGTTAACTACCATAGTTTGTTATCTAACTAATAGCACATTTGAAAAAAGCTTTTAAAGTGCCTTCTGGATTCTTTGTCTATGATTTTCCTTCTCCTGCCTACACAGACATCCCTTTGGATCTTTGAACATTTTTGAGTCTTCTTCACATGAAAAGACTGTTACTCTTCATGAAGACTTGAGTCAGTCCCTTGGCACTTTCAAAGATTATCACATATCAAGGGGCTTCCCCCTTCATGTTTGTCAAATGAGTTCTTTGTGTGTGTGTGAGGGTTAGTTTTGATGACGGCTAGTAAGGTTTATGCTGATTATAAGGTATTCTTAGAACCACTATCCTTTTGAATTGTGAAGTACACAACAAAACAGTTCTAATAATAGGGATGGCAGGGTGAATCGAAATGACAGCATGTAATAGAAAGCACAACTATTTAGAAAAGAACAACAGTTTAAAGTAAACCACAGGGAAGGAATCAAAGGTCACACCGCTTTATGTAAAACAAATACAAAAATACTTCAAGATTGATCACAAATGCTTCCATGATGTGCTTTAGAATGTGTTCCTTGATTTGATGAGAGAAACTACATCTGTCACCCGAAAGGGAATTAACAAGTACGCCTTTATGCTTGCAGCACTATATTTTTTAAACTTCTGAAACTTTAAATTATGATGGTTACTTCAATGAAGAGCAGTCTAGGAGTAGTTATGAAAAGTCTCCTGTGTCAGTCTATTCGTTATTTACAAAATAACAACAATGAGCTCTGTTTCTTAGGTATTAGACTCCTTTTGGTCTTAGCTGTCTCACACATTTGGATCAGAGTCTCATAATTTTCCGCTGTAGAATGGGTAACTTTTTCAGCTCCTGTTTGCTATTACTATGTATTTGTGTGCTTATATGAAAGGAAAGTGACCTCCATTCAGTAAATGTTTTGCTGTGGATGTGCTGTAATGACGCTAGACTTTATATTTTTTGAAAAAAGCAAGAGCAAACTCCCTACTTTCCCTTATCTCAGTATCGGTAACTGTGAGGCGTATGCTGTGTCTCCCGTGTTAAAGGCCCTAAGAAATTGTTTAACATAAACCTTAATCAGGACAACTTTCAGTAGGCCATTGGTCAGCAACAGGGGTGTTGGAATTTATTATTAATTAATTGTGGCAATATACAAAATTTTGCCATTAGCTTTTGAATAAAGTGAGTAGTGTTTAATTTTAGTTTTTTTTTTTTTGCCTGATTTTAATGCTTATTCATGTTTATAGTTGTAAATTTATAAAATGAAAGAAGACGTATAGTCATGAACATCAACGTCACCCATTTTTTGATAGTCTTGTGTGTCTGTGTGTACGCATGCACATATACACATTTAATTTTAGAAACAGTCTCAGTCCAATCATATATTGTACTCTGACCTGTTAACATACCTCAAATGCCATTAATTATTTTTGAAAACATTTTTTCATATTCAGGTAATGTTATGTGGCTACAAAAATCTTTTTTTTCTGCTATTCCAAACAATATTAGACTCCTGAGTCAGAGAATATTTCCCATGAATATTTTGAAATTTCATTAAACATATTTTTAAGTTTTTTAGCTAAAACTTCTACCAGGCAAAGAGGGCTCCTTCATTTTACTTTCAATATCTGGTTACTTTATATAGAAAAAAGGGAAAGTTGGAATGCTTTCACTGCCTAGATGGTTATTCCTCCTACCTAGGTATTGTATATTACCTGTGGTTAAATTAACCTTCCTGTTTTGTGTGGTAGCAACATCAAAATGACTTCTGTAATTAGTATAATTTCTAAAGATATGCTCTGTCCATGTTACTATTACATTGTGGGCTGCACTCCTATTAGTTTGTTACCTTATGAAAATTCATTCCATTTATAACTCCTGTGTTCTTCTATTTGAAGGGCTATAAAGTTTACTTGGGGGAAGAAACTCCCAAAGATGTGTTCAGACCTAGAAGTCTTCCCCAGATAATTCTATCTAACAATTAAGAATAAACAATGGCAATATTATTATTTTTCTTTCAGAGAATAAGAAAAATTGTATTATGCCTAATTTGGTTTTCTGACAGCAGATTACCTTAATATCAAAATTCTACAATAGCATTATAACAGAGGAAAGCTGTAATTCTAACACAGGAACATAGATGTGAAAAATCCTAAACAAAATATTAGCAGAAAAAAAATCAAGTGATGTATAGGATGTATAATATGCCATGATTCATTTGGGATAATTCCATAATATAAGGCTAATTTATCACTCAAGATTTATTTGAGAAAATTGGACATATTTGTTGATAAAATCTTTTTTTTTTTTTTTTTGAGACGGAGCCTCAAGCTATCCCCCCTGGGTAGAGTGCCATGGCATCACGCTCACAGCAACCTCCAACTCCTGGGCTCAAGCGAGTCTCCTGCCTCAGCCTCCCGAGTAGCTGGGACTACAGGCGCCCGCCACAATGCCTGGCCATTTTTTTTTTTTTTTTGGTTGCAGCCATCATTGTTGTTTGGTGGGCCCGGGCTGGGGATTTGAACCCACCACCTTAGGTGTATGTGGCTGGCACCTTAGCCGCTTGAGCCACAGGTGCCGAGCCTGTTGATAAAATCTTTTAGTAAATAGTGGTAGTTTCTGGCTCTCTAGATTTCAATTTTTCTCAAATTATCGAACTTGTTTAAATGCAGTAAACCTGGTTATATTAAAGTCAGTTTCTGATAACTCCTATGTCTGGCCCCTTTTGCGTCTATTTCTGATGTTTGTTGTTTTTATTGGTTCTCATTTATGATATCTTGACTCCTTGTATACCAGAAATTTTATTTTATTTTATTTTTATTTTTTTAGGTTAATTTGAGGATACAGAGAATTAGATTACAATGAATTTATTTTAAAAACTTTTAGAAACAACTCTCAGTTTGAAATGATAATGGAATTCTGGGACATGATTAGTTTTGGATCATCATGGTCCTATCAAAATTATTTGAATGAAGCTTACCTGAAAGCTGTAAATAGATTGCTATAGATTCACCCTTCTATTGTATATCTTTATGTTTCAAGCCAAAGCTTAGAGGGAAGGTCACCAGGTGTAGACCCCCTGGTAGGCCTTTGGCTCTAGTATATGACTTCCCAGTTCCAAATGTTTGTCAAAAGTGTATTTGGAGGGACCTGACCTAATGTACATAATACAATAGTACATTTCAAAACTATTAAGAAAAGAGTATAATTGTCTTACCAGAATAAATAAGTAAGTGAGGTGATGGATGTGTTAATCAGTTCGATGTAAGCATTTCATATTGTATGTCTTTTTTTTTTTTGAGACAGTGTCTCAAGCTGTTGCCCTGGGTAGAGTGCTGTGGTGTCACAGCTCACAGCAACCACAAACTCTCGGGCCCAAGTGACCTCCTGCCTCAGCCTCCCAAGTGGCTGGGACCACAGGTGCCTGCCACAGCGCCCGGCTATTTTTGTTGTTGTTTTTGGCTGGGGCCGGGTTTGAACCCACCACCTCTGGTATTTGGGGCTGGTGCCCTGCTTCTTGAGCCATAGGCGCCACCCTATTTTTGTTGTTGTTGATATTGAAGTTGTCATTATTGTTTTAGTAGGCCTGGGCCAAGTTTGAACCCTCCAGCCTTGGTGTATGTGGCCTGTGCCCCACCCATGGAGCCACGGGCACCACCCTCACATTGTATATCAAATCAGTACATAAATGCATCAGTGTACACAGTTACAATTTACTAAAATAATATAAATTTAAAAAAAAAACAAAAGTACCATTTAGTAAATATCTTTCTAGCTCCTTCTAGAATCAACAGATACCTCTAGGCCTAAATGCCCACCTCAAAAGTCTAGATTTCCTGTTCTTTTGGATTTTGACCTAGTAACTCTTCACTATCTTATTAAATGTTCAGTACCTTCAAGCAGCATTTTACAAAAATATTCTCTCCTGTTTTCCTTGTTGTTCTTATTGGTAAGATTGATCTAATTTATCTAGCCTGTCATGGAAATAGAAAATAAATTTTCTCAGTATTTCTTACCATTGTATCATTTCTAGATAATATAGTATTTTTTGAGCTATATGACGAAAAGTATGTAAAAAGTCTTGTAATATGTACTTGAGAAAAATTCTTGTCTTTAAATAATTATATAGATAATGTGTTAAAGTACTTTCTCTGAAAGAATAATTGTAACTCTTACTCTTTCAGATGACTCTTTCAGTTTCCTTTGTGGCTTCATAGAGGTTATTTAACCACTTTGGTGTATAGAGATTAATTATTAATTTTTGGTTTTTAATTTTTTTGTCTTACTCCGCAATTGTGAGGATAAATATATTCACTGCACATGCACTTGGAGTTCTTTAGAGGGAATAATCCTTTTTATGCTTTCTGTTTTTCCAAGTAGCGCCCATATAATGTTTATACTTCTGGCTTTATTCTTTTGACTGTCCTAACAATTGATTTTGTTTTCTTCATAAAGAATATTAAAGTGATGAATTTTCTATGATAGTGATAAAGGAAAAAATTAATATCGAAATTATTCAGAAGAGATTACTTGACACATTTATAAAATCTTGTTCTGTGTTTTCTAGTTCCCCATAACTGTCTTATTTAATGTGTTTTAACCCCAGCGTGGTCAATTGATTTAATAAAAATGCTTCTGTTTTCTCTTGTTATCTGATAACTTCTTAATGACAGCTAACAGCTTTTGTGAGAGCAGCACCATTAGCACTAATGGATAGGCAGGACAACTGATATGGCATGGGAAAGGTTAAAGATGACTAGTGACCCTTTGGCAAATCTGCTTGCAGCAGAACAGAATAAGTACCATGCTCATCTGAATTATAGGTCATAACGGATTTTCTCACACTTTTGCTATAGTCTGATGTTCAGCTGTCTTATAGCTACAGTTGTGTTCTGTGAGTACTCTTATAAAAGATTAATTAGGGATTTAATGAACTTTTACATTTAGATACCTCAAATTGTGAGGACAACACAGTGTAATTTACCATCTCCATTTGTCCAAGTTACGATTTCTGTATTCCTAATTTTTGCTTAGCCTTCACAATTTTTGTATATATTTGAGGAAATTATCCAATGTTTATACATGCCTTATCAAAATCAGGTGGAAAGACAAATTACTGTGAGATGACGTAGATTTCTAAATATGGAGTGTCAGAGTTCTTACATAACATTACAGATTACTTCTGGACACTAGGGCTCAGAGATGTGCTTGATTCTTATGTAGGAACAAATTTACTCTAAAAGCAAAGATCTTTGCTAATGAAGAAGACTTCCAGCTCTCTTCTCTCACCCTGTCCTCCTGCATAATTAATGAACTATGATAAACAGCACTGTCTTGTAACTTACTACACAAATTACAGATTTGGTAACTATTACATTTTGAGTTTAGATTTTTGTCCACTAGTAAGATGACTCCATCAACAGTCATAGTTTTTATTCTAAGGAATGTTGAGAACTCTTCCTGTATCATGTGCCTTTGACTGTGAAATGTACTTACTACCTTTGCTTCCCTCTTTGTAGATAATTTCCCTGGTTATCTTATGCTAACTTTTACCGTTATCCTGTGGTTTGCTTTGGTACATTACTTTCCACTCTAGTTCTTTCTGTTTTATTCCTGTTCATTGGTATAAGAGCATGAAATGATAGGCTCAGGGGCAAATGGGGAGGATATACAATCAAAGACTTTAAAACTGAAAGGCATTCCTTTGATAAAGGGATAGCTACATTTAAGTGGGAGCATCTCTATTATCATTAATGGAGTAGGTACGTCAGCTGAGGCATCTCAGAGGTTAATCGGGCTTCCTGGCCTGCTCTTGACATCAATACACTGTGCTGCCTGGTTCTGTTGGTCCTTCAGAGGCTTACTTGACAACACTCTGACAGACTTTGTGTAAGTCATTTCTTGTGAATTATTGAAAGAAACGTTTGGCTACTAATTGAGGAAAGCTAATGTGTTTTATAATCATTGCAGTTTGAGTTTTTAGCACTAAACAAAACAGTTACAATTGATTTGTGGTTGTTTCTTGGTTTTAGTCTGCTGTAAGTTTCTTTTTGCTTGAATTCAGCAGATGGCTTTGCTGGCCATTTTATTTAAGTATTTATTAGTATATGTTATTTTAGTTCTTAGTTTTTCCAATCCCCCCCCCCCCAATCAGGCATCTTTGTTTTGTATTTATTAACTGTGAGATCACAAGTAGTAACAGGAATACTCTATTACAAGGCAGTGCAGGACAGTGGTTAAAAATCAGGCTCTGGAGACAGTCCTGGTTTTGAATTCTGACTCTGTCACTGAGGGCCCCTTTAAGCTGCTGTTTTGCTTAACTTTCTTTGCCTTAATTTTCCCTTCTATAAAATTGAAGTGTTTGAGGAAATCTGTAGACAGTTTATGTTGTGAGCCTTGGCTAGTAGGAAAGGAACCGTGGATAATGAATACACAATTGAATATACTGTATGTACTATATGTAACCTAAAAAAATAACTTACATAGCAAATATTGCCCTACTCCTATGTGATTCAATACACAGTGGAATATACTTGTATGTACTATATATAACTTAAAATATACTTTAATCCTACAGTAAAATAATGTGTATATTACTAGTCTTATTAGTTATATGGTGTTTTAATAGAAAGTTTCCTTGGAAAATACTTTTCCCTTTTAATTTTAATCTAATTATTGCTTAAATCACATTTGGACCTTTAATGTTTAATTATTTGACTGTAGCTTTATTCCCACCACGGTGTCTGTGGAAATTTTACTGATGCCATTCCCCTCAAACTAATACAGATATTCCAACTAAATATCAGGATTATGTTAAAAGTCATACTGAATTTCTGGGACACTTTGCTGCTACATAAAAGATTATAAGAGAATAAAGAATTTAATACAATGAATAGGAGACTTAATTAACTGCGTATTTCTATTTAGAATCCAAATACTGATGTGAAGTCATGCATTTTATTTCTCTTTGTACAGACATTGAAAAGTGGCCTGACAATGGTTGGGAAAGTAGTTACTCAGCTGACGGGCACACTGCCTTCAGGTGTGACAGAAGATGATGTTTCCATCCACAGTAATTCACGACGGAGTCCTTTGGTCCCGGGCATCATCACAGTTATTGACACTGAAACGGTTGGAGAGGGCCAGGTAGGACTTTTTGGCTCATGCAGTGTGTGTTACCTGCAGAGATTGGGCTAAGATCAAGATCAGCAAAAATGTATTTGGCATAGGAAATTATTAATTTGGAATTTTAGAAATTATTCAGATTAGATTTTTCTTCAACAGATGATGAGTAACATGTTAATACCTGTTACTTCAAACATTATTAAATCATCAAATCTGAAGCTAAAGTGGAGAATCTAAGAGACTCTCTTATATCTTTGTGAGACCATTTGTTTCATAAGTAAATAATTATATAGCTCTTTGTAACTGTTCAGTTCATAGTAAGGTTTCTTTTTTGTGTCTAATGACATTTGTCATAACATAAATCTTAAGATTAATACATTTTTTTAAAGGCAAGACCATATATATTTGGGATAATTTTTAAAAAATTCATTCTTGCAAGTAACAAGTAACGTAATTTAGTGAATAAACAAAAAAATTACAACCTATTTCCTTATCAATATAAAAAAAATACAAGAAATCTTAAAGTAACACCAGAACATATACATGGCACCAGTATCTTCAGATGAAACAGATCTTTGTAGTTTTTAAAGTCTAGATTTAGATGTATATATGTTATGCTTGTATCTAAATCTTGCTAGCAACATATTATTTGGGTTGTGTTTTTTTCCCATGTGTTCATAAACTTTTTTGTTTGTATCATAGCTATCATTCTAAAAATATAACTCTTAAAGGAAGATTTTATTTTAGTAGTTTGTAATTATTGCTATAACTATAGAATCTAGAATCACATAGGAGTAGGGCAATATTTGCTACATAAGGTTTTTTTAGGTTGTATATAGTACATACAGTATATTCAGTTGTGTATTCAGAACACATAGCTAAAAACTGTGTGAATCTTTAAAGCATTAACCTTAAATATTGCATGTTCTTTTGAGAGAATCTGCTTCTAGTATATATGGGTCGACATCCTGATGAAAAATTACATTTGGCAGCTACTCATGTGCTAGTTCCTATAGTAAGTAAGATCAAGGGCACTTCAAGAAAATGTGCACCTTACTGCAATTAGAATAAAATCTTTGAAATTCTTGGTTATTAAATTTGGTTTTTATATATTTTTTGAAATCCAAATAGTAATTCTCTGCTTCTCCTATCTTTGTGGTTAACAAACTATGTTAGACTTTTTTTTTTTTTTACTTTAATGAAATGCTAGCCAAGTTTTCAGTTGACTGCAGTGACTTTGTATCTGTGTCTGTTAATTAATTGATGTGGACAGATACATACAGATGTTTTCCTTTTAAATTGGAATTAAATATATAAACCTTTAGTGCTATGAGTGTTAAGAGTAAAGAAATTCCCTCTGTTCTTTGATTTTTTTTTTTTTATTCTTAGTTAATCCATCTACATGACCAGTCACATTTATTAGGTAGTAACAACCCTCCTCAACATTGTCTAGGGCCATACATCTGTTAACTGAACATTTGTTGACAGAGAGATTTGTGGTCATTTCAAAGTAGAAAATGTTATCTTAATTTTTTTGATGAAATAGATTTGTAACTTGTGTATTAATGTATTTTTTATATTGATGTATGAGGACATATAAAATAATTATGTAAAAAGCATAACTTTAAGTCTTTTTAAAATATGGTTTAATTTTTACCATTTTTTTTTCTTTAAGTTCATTAACTTTTTATGACTTTATAAAAGAAAATCTTAGTTTTGGAGTATGGAAATAGACTATAGATTGTGGAGTTGCAGATGTTCACTTGTGATTAAATACATTAGCACTTGAAACAAGTAAAGATGTTTATTAGGAGGAATTGTAGAGATACTAGCTTTAAAAAGTTAAAAATCTCAAAGGTTGTTCAACATGAAAAATTTTATCTTTTCTGTTATTGATTGGTTCCCATAATCTCCCACTCATGACATGTT